CCGTTTGGGAAAAAGAGGGACAATTAGCAGAACATTTAGACTCGACTGGATGAAGCTACTCCTTGTGCTTTGGTTTACCCAGTCAGAAGGTGAAAAGGCACAAAGGTCTTGCGACTCTTGCACAAAGCGCATCTCGCTGTTCCTCTTTCACATATTGAATTATGGATTTTGATCAAACTGGTATGATAGCAGTCTGCTTCATGGATCTGAATAACTAAAGCCAGGTGTTCAAGTTCCTTTCATCATCTGTGAAAAAATCAAAAACCCAGACATCTAGGCTGTTGCTACAAACAAGAGGGGAGGGTCACTCCAGCACCTCAGTGAACTCCAGTGGGGTTCTGTGATTTGATCTCCAGTCTTCAAATTCCCTAATTCCTAAATATTCCAATGTGGACTGTCTGTGACTTAAGTACCAGTCCACAGCTTTTCGTCTCCACCATAATCCCCACACCCCTCCTCATTACATCAGCAGCCTCTATGCCTTCTTTGCCCCATGAGTCTCTCTTGTATCCTCCATCTTTACCTTCTCTCTGTTGTAGCCTCACTGTCCTGCTTTTATTGTTAATCTATACTGTTAATCTGTGTGGCTCCAATTGGCTATGCTGTCCCGATCAATGTGCCGCAATTGTTGAGGAGGGTCCACAGGGACTGATACCGCCCCCCACCCCCCAACCCACCCACAGAGTCGAGACTCTTCAGTGTACAACACAAAATCTCTGATGATGAAGCTGCTGTTTACTGTTCTAATCAGGAGGGTTGAAACTCTTTACCCACTAGTGGTCCAATGCTTATGCAACATCTGCCTTTTTACTTCACATTGACAAGAAGACTGGACTAATACCTCGCAACAGGACAGACACCTAGTAAGAGCACCAAAACTAGGAGACTAACGAATTAAAAAATATATATTAGACAGAACTAAGCATAACGCTTCTTTGGAGGGTTTTGGTTATTGTATAGTAGCAGCAGAATCTCATGATCCTGGATAGGGTTCTGGAGAAGCAGCTGAGTGAAATGTTTATCCATGAGCAAAGGTGGAGGTTAGACTTGGCTTTTAGTTTTTCCCGCCCTATTTTCAGACAGTCGGGTGTTTCTTTTTTTCATGGTCCTGTGAGGTTTCTTTCCTCTCTGTGTGACCAGTGATAGGTTTACCTTCAATAAGCCTCCTCTGTTCTGTTATTCTGAGGATCTACAGTTCAGATGTTGTGACCCCACTCAGATTAGTGCGTGTTGTCAGAGTGAGGCCGCTGCTTTTCTAAGGTCAGAGGTTGATCTCTATCACCCTAAACTCACCTCCCCAGTGCTTCCATCAAAGCTGCAAATGGTGCTGGAGGAACAAGTGTCTCTAAGGGGGGTCGTGACCTCCATGTAAGGCTCGCCCATTAAAGCAGGAGGTGATGGTCAGGCGGGGGAGGAGGCGGGGGCCAAGGCGGCGGGGAACAGGAGCGCTCCGGGTAATTAGAGCCCAGCCTCTTCCTACATTTTGACACTCTGTGGCAATTTATTGCCCTGCTCGGGCAACTTGGCCACCCATCTAATTGCAATATTAGCGGGCAATAACAGTGAAGCCGTGGCGATCCGTCAGCGCCGTGTTCTGCTGCCTCGGCAGGATTTCAGCCATTAACCGGCAAACTAGGGAAACAAAGCGACCTCTGAGGGGAGCATCAGCACGCATTTATATTCACACACACAGCGGCTGTCAGAGAGACCTTCAGGTGATGCTCAGAGCTTCAGGATGCGGATGCTACCAGCAGGCGTTAGAACTCTGAGCTTAAGTCCTCATAAAGCTCTGTTTAAACCAACCAAAACCAATGTCCTTCCAAAAGGCCGTAACCGCTCACATCTCAAATTGAACTCAAATTGAAGTGGCATTGAGGTTACTCCACGTTGTGATAGGTGGAGGAAACATAACCAAAGGTGATAAAAGTGAAAGTGAAACAGAGGTGATGAAAAAACAAAGTTAGGAAACAGACAGTGTTTGATTTACTTCAGCGAGAGGCCTGCTTTACTGTAGCCCCTTAGCCACATCATTTGCATGTTGGGTCACTAAAAACAACCATCTCCACACACCCGCCAATGGTGTGTGTTGGACCGCAGCAATAAATCCCTGCATTTCTTAACAGCCTCTAAAATGCAGCGAAACAACCGAAGCTGCGGTAAATCAGCAGCAGAGGACTGACAGCGCATCCACACAAATACGCCGGCGTGTCCATTAATATGCAGATGTGTGTGTCTGTCTGAGTGTGTGTGCAATCCCAGGGTTGGTGGACTAGAATACATGTCCTGTTGTGTCCTAATTATAGCGGCCAAATGCAGAGAAACAACCAGGGAGCAACGAGGACAAGTAGAAAGTGGAGTTCCATCAGCAGCAACATGCTGGGGTCAGTATGAAGGCATATACCGACCGTCTCCTGGTAAAGCTGCATCAGAACAGACCCTGTCTCAAAAAGGCAAGCAGGAAGTCTGTTCAACTACAACTTTGCTTCCCGTTCTGAGCTCTGGATTGTCTTGTTTGCTAAGGAGTTATAAAGTCAGCTATAAATCTGAAGACAGAATAATAACATTAAGCTGTAGTGCTGAACACCAGATATAAATAATGCAAATAATTTTTGTTTCAGTGAGGAGCAGCCTGTAGAACCTCCTCCAGCAGAAGAACGTTCAGCAGTCTTTTGCATCACTTCACAGAACTTTGATCTTCCCATCTTTCCAGTGTTGATTTAGCTTCTGCTCACCTCTCCAAAGCTCCCATCACAGCTTTTTTTTTTATCAGACTAAGGTTTAGATTTTAACTAGGTCAATAAAGCAATTGTTTGTTTCATTTCTATTCATTCTCTTGTAGATCTGTTGCTGAGCTTTAGCTAATGGCTCTGCTAATGACCCAGTTTGGATTATGCTACAGCTTCTTGACAGACAGTCACATTGGACTCTAGAGTACCTTGGTATACAGATGAGATTGAGATGAACTCAATGATCTCACTCTAAGCCCACATCATCATTCCTCCACCACTGTGCTTAACAGTGGGGGCCTAGTGGTTAGAGCATTGCCCTTGGGTCCCGGAGGTTCTGAGTTCAAGTTCCGCAGACTCCCATGAACTGCCACTTTGGGTCCCTGAGCAAGACCCTTAACTCCAGACTGCTCCCCAGGTGCCAACAAAGGATTTACATTTACCACTCTGCTTAACAGTTGAAATGAAACATTTATGTTGCTATATTAGAGGTTATGAGCTCATTTCTGCCTAAAGTCTAATATTCAGAATCAATTGATTTAATAAGACAAAATAAAATAGAAAAGCCTTTTTAAGTTAGGTGATTGCATCTTGGTGTAAAGTCGATGGGGAATGAAGTACTCTCTGTAACTGAACATCTGTTGCCCTTTAACGTCTCTCCTGTAAAATCAGGTCACATTTATTTCCTGAGGTTGTGCTTCATTGTGAAAAACCTTCTCAGCCGAGTCCATCTCATGTGTGACCAAACACATCGAGAGGTGACAGTACTGCTAAAAACACCATCAGACAAACACAGCAGAGCACACGCACTCCCCAAAAGGTGAGAGGTCGTTTCAGAGTGTTGTGTGTATCTGGCATGTTCAGACACGTATGCATGGTCTCCTATACATGTGCCAGCACTCATGCCGGATGAAAGCGTGTTTCACCTGTGTGTTTGTTCTGGCTGCAGACCAAGGCCACTACCAGGCCAACATGGACTCAGTGATGAAATAACCCCCCACTAGCTTCCACTGAGGTCACCGACTCCCACCGCTGCTACTCAGCCAATCACAGCCTGCTGTCATATGGGACAGACAGACGCTGACTCCAAGGACAGAGCGGGCAGTGAGGACGATGTCTGCTGGCGTCTGATTGGATAAATATTCACACTGTGGGAATTCTGGAGGCTTTAATGTGGCATTGGATGAGAGAATTGTTTGAAATTAAACTCGGAGCTCCATGTAAAGGTGCAGAAAAGTCAGCAGTTTGTCAGGAATCAGGAATAACTCGTGAAACCTGCAGAGTTCTTCGACAAGGAAGCATTCAGGTCTTTCAGCTAAATAAACACACAAAAAATTCCAACATTCAACATCCAACAGAAAGACCTAAACATGCAGTATGGGAATGCAGAGATCTGATTTGTAGGTTAGCGCTGCAGACTGGAAATGTTGTCTTGGTGGTGTTGATTAAACCGTTCACACAGACGAGCCTGACGTCGGAAACAAGAGGTGAGAAAGAAGTGAGATGCCAGAAAACAGAAAAAGCAGGAAGAAACAAAGACAGCAGAGCGATGCCAGCTGTGCATCGACAGCAGCCGGATGAAGAAAACACTGCTCAAGGTTTTCCATGTTTTTATGCACCCACTTTCATGTTTTAATTGCTCTGCACAGTTAAAACACTGCTGAACTTCCAGGTAGGGGCTGCTTGAAGCTTGGTTATGTTAAAATAAATAAATAAATAAAATTAAAGTAACTAAAAAAAAATAACATGAGCTGTGTTCAAGGACTAGCTCATGATCAGGTCTGTCTCAAGGATAAACCTTCTGGATAGGCTTGTGTCCCTGAAGGCAATAGAAACCAGAATTTTCCTCCCTCAAACAGAATGCACGGTTTCTAGTAAATATATCTTGTTATAAAGTTTCATGATGACTCAGACCAACGATCCAGTTTCAGTGCAGCAGCAATGACAAATACTACATGACGCTTCCTCCAACTGAACTTTATTTGTGTGCCAAGACTGAGACAGAGATTTCTGAACTCAAACACAGACTTTATAGGATGTCTAAATGGCAAGATTGCATAAATCGTACAGCGTTTGAGTCCACAGGCTAAAAATAGGTCAGGGTGCTGCATCCCCTGGCAGGAGTCACACTGAACAACTGGCTGAGCATCAGCTCAAAAACCACTAAAGTGGCATCAGATCGATATGAAGTGAACCACAAAAACAGAAACATGAATCCATCTTTAACAAATGATAATCATACAGCTCAGGAACTGAGGTCAGGTGAGTCCTTACCTGTCGATGATGACTGGATCCGAAGGTGTCTCGTTGCGATTCCCGCAACTCTTCTTGTCACAGCATCGACTGTAAAAGGAAGGGAAAAGTTTAAATGCAGAAGAAATTTTAACATCTTCAAAACAATTAGTTTTAGGACCTTTCCTGTTATATATCTTAGTACATGTCCTACTACCCGTTTTATTGTTTCTTCTTCTACCTGGCTTTCCTGGTACCTGTCCTAATCCAAGTTCCGCTACCTGCCCTGGGTCATCATCTACAAAAGAGTGTGCAGTTTCTATACTAAAGATGTTGATTTGACGAAAGCTGTTGAAAACTGCAAATAGAGGTGCATAAAAAGAAATCCAGATGTTTTAAGTCATGTTTTCACATCATCACACATTTTACTTTTATTTGCATTGAATTTATCACTAGCATTTAAATATGTTTCCAAGCTAGTATAACTACCTGGAGGGCAACCTCCATACGTCCAAATAACCATGGCAACCGTGCTGTCAGGCACTGAGAGACTATCACTATACCAAGAGGGATTCCTACTGAATAGTGAGTTACAACAAACAGCAACTTCTTGAGTTTTATCAGTAACAAGAAATTTCTGAAAATAAACTCTGTAGGATTGTACAAGACTAAACAACTCTGTGTGCTGTAGTAAGCTTAACCATTGCTTCATGCTTATCACTATAACATATACAAGATCATGTAATGAGATGTATGTTTTTCTACGTCTGGTCGACCTCAGGGATCATCACTTCTGGCTAGTGAGGAAGTAATCTGCTTCCTTGACACAACATCTTATTCTTAGTAAGGTTGATAGAGGCCCTAAGATGATTTGCATGTATTTTATGGTCCCACGGCTGTGCGTTTACATCTATAAATGGAAAACAGACTTTTTTAAAAGGTGTGTTATGTCCTGTTATGAGCTTAGCTCTAGTTCAGTTTAATAGTTTGAGTTTAAATCATAAAAGCGCAATCTAATGACAAACACTGCTTTCAGTTCTGCTCAAATGAAAGATGTGCTTCAGTGCATTTAAATGTTTTGCTGCCTTTTTTATTATTGACTGAAAACTTTGCGTGAATTTCCGGACCTCTTCCTTGCTGCATGTTGCACCTGGGCTCTGATTGTTCAAGTCCTGGTCCACATCTCCAGATTATAGGTAATTGCTGGAGCATAGAATGAGCAGTAAATGAAGACCTTCATCTTTTCGCTCAGAGTCACCCTCACCACCAGGGTTCTGACCAGAGTTGCTATTACAGCAGATGAAGCTCTGATCTGTCTCTCTATGATCGGTTAGCAGCGCAGAATCAGAACGTGAGAGTCTGACAGCAGATCCTGCTTTGGCCATTCATGGACCAGATGGTTTGGAACAGCAATGGCCCAATTCCCACAGCAACTTTCATGAGTTTCCTCCAGGTGATCAGACTACATGAAAATTTTCTTCTGCCTTGAGAAGGCCTGAGAGTTAATTCACCCCAGCCCATCCAGCCAGTGGGTGAAGAACCAAAGTCCAGGACAGTTGAACCCAACCTATCCTAAAATGATACTTTACCACCATCAGGTAAAAAGAATAAGGCAGTAAAGTATAAGAAGAGTTTATATATTATAATAAAGAAATTACATTTTCTCTAGTTTAAAAAAACTTGGGTATTATGGATCAATAAAAGCTATTTTTGTGCAGCTGGGTTGAATCCAAACCGAGGTCACAGACAGTTGGATAAGACCCAACAATGTATAATATCCCTCCAGCAACCCCACCTCCTAATGCAGGTTATTGCCTGTGACAGACAGCCAGCAAACTGGACGTGTTCTGGCCAGAACAGCCGCCGATGCAGCTTGAGGGTGAGGAAGCCGGCTGCTGCATCTAAAACCAGCCCAGCAGCTTGCACCCTGAGGGGACACCAGGTTCTAGGCATGCTGCGCAGGACCGACAGAGCCTATTGAGACTCATCATGTGATGGTTCGTTGTAGTGTTTGGAACAGCAGATGGCTTCTTCCAACAAATGAATATCCATCAGACAGATGTTCTCAGAACATTCAGACTCTTAATCTGACGTTACGCACCAACAAGCCACCCTGAGCAGCAAATAGGAGCTATTTTTAAAATGGGATTAATACTCTGATGCAAAAATTTGTGGAAGAAATTGGTAAGAATTAGACAAATTTAGCTGTTCAGTGTTTTCTATTAATGAGAACAGTGTGAATATTTCAGGATAATGGTGGGGAAATATAAAACCTGAAGGGATATATAATTATGTTAAAGAATTATAAGAATTTAATCAAATAAGACATTTTAAAAAATAATAAGGCAGCATTTGCCTCACATGAAGAAGCATAATGCTGTATTCAGAAGATTAAGAGATTAAATTTAAATGTTTGTAAATGATAAAGATATGGTTGTTTTTCTTGCTTTATTTTAGCAAAGACAAAGTATAAAGATTCTGCAGAAGCTACTGTTTTTTTTTCATCTACAGAAAACATTTATAGAACTGAAGTAACTACACCAATCAGCTCTGGTTCATTAGAAGGACATTTAGGCCATCTTAGATCTATAAGCACTTTAAGGGAAAATAAGCAATCATTTCAACAGCCCTTAGGACTGCCTGTAGGCACAAGCAGGCATCAGGCAAAGAGAGTTGTCAAACTGTCTGAAATATGTACCGTAAGACTGAGATGCATTAAACATCAGTACTGCTTGATTGAATAAATACATTTAATGCAGATGTGAGACGAATATTTCAGCTCAGATTTAATGGAGAGTCAGAACAGATCTTCTGTCTGCTCAGAGCTAGTTCCCAGTTTATACTCAGATCATCTCATCCTGTATGATTAATCATCTGCAGAAGCTGCCTGACAGTCACAGCCCAGGGAAAATAGCAAGGTGGTTTTAGGAACAATTCCACAGTAAAATGAAATTAGTTTTACACATTAAAATACTGTTGAGACAATAAATCAGAGGCGTAACCTAATATGTCCAACTGATCCAGTTCAGACGATCCAAGTCGTTCCCATTTTAGCCTCAGAGGAAACATTTCCATCTTCTGTCCTCCAAGGAGACAGAAACGTTCCGATATTTGTCCAAATTAATTTCATACGCAGCACATGAGCTCCAGCTTTCTGTAATGCTAATGTGAAAAAGCATCTATGATTGATAAGAACAACGCTCACTCAACATAAGATCTAATTTTCTGCCAATAATCTTCTGACAAGCTTCTGAAACGGCATTAACATATCTTCCGGTAATTCTTAAAAATTAATCATGCTGCATCTGACCCGTGACGTCCAATTACACTCCTGCATTGGCCCCATGCTGTCCTGAATCAAATTGCCATTTGACAAACAAGCGTCAAATCGAGGCTTCGAATGCCAAATGAGACGCTTTATGAATCATTTATCACGCTGTTTGATCTCTAAGTAGAGAAAAATCATAAAATCAGCGCAGTGTTTGTGTCTGGGCGGCTGCATGCGTGTGTACGTGTGACTGTTGCCACAATAATTTATTCCCCCAGCTACTTGGAACCATTAGTGAAAGTTCCAGGAGACCAATTAGCATTGGAAACCCACTGGTGCTGCTGTGGTGACAACCTCCTCCAAACTGCCAAAGAAGTGTTATAAACAAACCAGACCCCAGGAGCACTGCCGGGGCCCCTCCGGGGACTTGGGGACCCTTTCCAAAGACGAAAACAAACCTTGGGTGAGCGTCCACAATGCCGCCTTAATGACGTTTCCCCCCGGGCCACAGGCGGGCTAACACTGCGGCCAGCTAATGACTGAGAGGAACAACACGCACGGACCTGAGCGGCTCTGTGTGTGTCTGGGTAGGTGAAATAAAACACACTGCTGTTGTTGCTGCTGTCACTCGGCTGCCAGAGAGTTCTTTCTGAGACTGAACAAACAAAAACACACAAACCAAAGAAAACAATATCCAGCTCCAACATTCAGCTTTTACTTCTAAGGAGCCACTTCAGATGAGTGGTGCTCAAAGCCCACAGAGAAGTTCAGGGAATCACTTTCTCAGTCTGTAAAACTGAGGGGCTGTCCAAAGATGTCCTGAGAATGCCGGGATCGGTGGAACTCTAAAGGCAGCGGCCAGAAATCACCAAACAGGACGCCAGGATGACTTTCATAGGCCAAGTGTTGTAATTACCCAAAGGCCTGGAGCCTCTCTGCAGCAGCGTTATTCCAGCGCCGCCTGCAACCTGGCAGCCGGCAGAGCTGAGGCATGAGGCCCTGACCTGGCGAGCCTCTGGAAGGGCCGGGGGCAACACCGCCTGGCAGTCTGGCAGCTACTGCTAAGTCTGCCACCAGCTCTAATATAATCAGCCGTTTAAAGATGATCAATGCATCGCGCTGGCGGGTGGAAGCAAACAAATCTATCGGCATCAGTCAGAGCAGAGAGCATCCAACTGTCAGAAAAATCACAACCTGAGCCGTTCTACAAGAACCATTTTGGCAACGTTTCAGCTGCAGCTTCCCTGGATCCAGATTCTTCATGTGACTTGTGCAGCAGGGAAAACATCAAGCTAAAACCTTTTAAAGAAACTTTACATCTTAAGGTTTAAAAGTCTTTAAAGCTACCATGATTACAGTTATACAAACATACTCATGTGGAAATCATCTCCTGCAGGGCTGCTGCAGATTTACTGAGTTAAAGTCACGTTTTAAAATCTGCCCTGAATTTAATTTAATACCACTTTCATCATAGTTCTGACCAGCATCCCATCGATCCAGTAGAAATGCTTGGGATGATGAGGCCTTGAATTATTGATCAGCTGCATGAATTTCCTGGCATTTAGATCATATTTTCTTTCTTGCTCTTTGCTCCGTCTAACAATAATTCCAATTACGACCATTAATGAATCATTATAAACCACATGGTCTTGCACATGCTGCAGCAAATGGATCAATAAATGGATGGAGGCTCAGCCAATTAAAAGAACAACCTTTTTAAGGTCTGAATGAACTCTGATCACAGGAGGAACCATTTATAGTGGAGATTTTCTCAGGATTTACACACATCTGATCCACAGGAGATGTTCTGCTAAGTTTAATGTTATGAAGCTACATGGACAGAAACCAACAGCTGCTGGAGCCATCCAGATCTCAGGACGTCTTCAGATGGGACGGTGCCGTTAGGGAGGCTCAGGGAGTCAGAAGATGGGCCAATCGCTCACTCATTAGTGGCTGAAAACAACATCCATCAGTGAGGAGCTGTGCAATAATCTCCCTCCATCAAATAATGACTGCAGCCCAGAGACAGACAGCCGCCGTGATGCAGATGAAGCTCCTATTGATGGCAGACAGGGTTATTGGGCGGTGGGGGGTAACTTCCAGACAAAGACATGGCCACCTCTGTCCATCTTCCATTGGTGTAACTATGAGCTTCAGATCATTTACAAACGAGCAGCCCTGACGATTGAGGTAAGAGTTGGTTCAGTTTAAACCCTTTCAATTCTTTAAGGAATCAAACAATAATGCATAAAGTTATTTGGCCCTGCAGGAGCAGATCAGTCCCATGATAGCTCCTCCTCTTTATTTCCTTTTTGTCTAACTTGCGAGCAAACAAGGAATAAATATTTCTTTTTGTTTTTCTTTATTCCTTCTTTCTTCCATAAATCTTCCCTCTTGATTTGCCTTTTCATTCAGCCGATTCCTAATTTCTTCTTTACATATTTATCAGATTTAATCACCAGATTAAACCACATAAGATGCAGCATAAACAACTAAGCCCTCAATAAAACTTTTAGATAAAATGTAGAAAATGTCTTGAACTTAATTCTTTTTCTGCTGCAGGAACATTATTTCGCACCTTAAGGAGCCCTATTGAACAGCAGTAAAAGCTATGTATGGATAGTCATTGTTGGGTGATTTACATTTACATGTCTTGCACTAAATGTCAGGTCAGCTGATCAGTCAGTGCAGACTGGTTTCCTCATCAGATAACCACCTTAGTTATGAGTTCAACTGCAAAACCAGCTAGGCTCCATGCAACAGATGTTAAAGCCACATATCTCACATCCAGACTTGAGTTTCTGACCTATTTCTGCCCTGAAGACACTCTCACTGTCTTCTTCCCTCCTTGGTCTGAGCCAATAAAACCATTAACTGACAGCCAACAGCAGAGAAAGGCAGGGCAGGAGACGTGTTGATTGTTGCGATGAACGGCAAACCAACAGCTGCTCTTTTTTTTTTCCTACAGACACGGCAGGAGAACGCACCAACTGAGAACCACTCAGTGTTCAGCAGCTTTTATTTTCAAGGACTCGTCTTTTCTCAATGCTTTATATGGAATCAAATGAAGCCTTTTGTTTCGTATTTGCAGGTAATCATCTATGACAGCAGATAAGCACACTTCCTGTGCAGCTTCATTATCACTCCAGAATGTGCATAGCTGAGAGCCTGACACACCGCTGCAGGATGATCTCTAAGCCGCTTACCTGCACATGATCTCGTGGGTGAGGAGGACACGACACATCTCTGGGTTCTTGTCCTGACCTTCGTACAGGATGGGCTGGTGGGACATAAACAGAAAACCGGAGTCACATTCTGACCCAAACCCAACAGCAAATCCTCATTTCTGAGTTACAAGAATTAGAATCGGACAAAACAAAATAACAACAGTCCCTTTATCCAAGTCCAAAAGGTTTGGTCCAATGAATTCTCTAGTCTTACCTTTTCAATTTTAAACCAGTATGCAACAAGTAAACAGAATTTGATCTGAACCAAAGCCACAAAAATGAAGATCATTGTTAAACATGCTGTTGCTCTACAACTAAACATATGATGGGAAATTGAGGGGAAGGAAAAAGCGCAGGTACCGATTCAATGTGTTTCATAAAGTCCAAAGTTAGGGAATATGTTTACCAATGCACTGCTCCAAATGTTTGCTCAGCCTTGCCAGTTCAGCCTAGTCAGTGGCTCTATCTAAAAAGGTCTAACTGACATGAGCTGGCTTTCAGCATCACATCAGTTGACATACTGACAGTGAAAACAGATCACATTTCCTTTGACCCCTCAACTTCTTCAACTGAAAGTAAACTTTTAAGATCAAATAAGTATATTTTCTATGTTATTAAGGTGCTGATTTATTATGCTTTTTCAAATCTCTTGTTGCTTCCTTTTCTAACGCGCATCATTAAACTCAGCTGCAGATACCTTAAAAAATCAAAATCATTAAAACTGATTTTCCTATTGCCTAATTAATGAATTCGTTATGAGGAGAGATTAAATAAATTTAGGATGTCTTTAACACATGCTCATGAAATTAATATATTAATTTACTATTTACATTTTTTTAAAGAAACAGAGCATATTATAATGTATTTACTTAGTATAAAGATAGTTTCAATAATTGGATGCATGCACTTTGTTATAGTGAAATAATAGCTTTATTATTAAATTTATTAAATAGCTTTATTGCCACTTTATTATATTGTGGCCTATTGATTTTGTATACTTTCTGCTTCAGTAAAATTTTCCAAAGTTGAGTTTCTGTTTGTTTGAAATGCTTAGGATTGAGCTCTAAACATTAAAGGCAGAATATTTCCCAGAGTCGGATCTCCAGCTCAGTTCCTGAGTGCAGCAGAGAGGATCAACCTTGTGGTGGCGTCAACCCGGCGTTGCAGGTCATGCAACAGCTCAGCCCTTAGTATTAACCAAAATTCTAAACATTTCCTCTCTGACCTTTCCCAAGTCCAACTTTATATGGCAAAGATACACAACAGGTCTCTTAGAGAAAATAGCTGAGTCTGTAAGCGCCTTTAGAGCAGAAGAGAGAGATGAGAGAGGGCTGTCTGAGGTGAGAACAAACCAGAGGCCGTACCTCTAGACTGAGGATGCAAATATTTCACCTTATGGAGATGATGACATTTACCTTTTGCATTTAGCACAAGAAGACTAAATACTGTAGAATAGGACTGTTTCAATCAGTGGACTGCAAATTGTAGGCTGTACGTAACTGTATTATGAGCATCAGACCTTATGGTCTGGTTTAGATGGTTCCAATATAAGCAGGAACCATATAACCACATTTCACTTACAGAAGCTACGGTAATCAGAAGAAGAGTGAGTAGGTACAGTACTTCAGGTCCTCCCCCACTGCCCCATGGACACAGCTAGCAGTAAAATCAAACATGGCCGCCAACAACTCTGTCCCTATGGTGGTCCCTGGCTCCTCCAGCTTTTCCAGAGTTCTCTGCCACATGGCAGACGGCGCCCCCTTTTATACTTAACCCCACAAAGTGAGGTGAGTGCAAAAAAATGTTTGGACATATGCTTCTAGAGGCCATTATCATTGCATCTGGAATCAGGTAGAGGATTCGGGACCTGAGCTTCTTGGGGAAGGCATTCAAAATAAAGATGACCATCCTGGGGTAGAAAGGAGTGGGTGTGTGTTCTGTATCACCCTGGTGACTGTAAATGTGCTCCACTAAAAGCAAGGGTGTGTGTGTGTGTGTGTGTCCTTATTCCTCCTCCTGCTCTTTTCCTGCCATGACCAACAACTACCTCATCCACCTTTATGGTTAAAACAGACCTCCACCCTATACACACACACACACACACACACACACACACCCATACACACCCTGGGGGACAATACTTTTAGGATAACGACCACTTCTGCATTATTGATCATGGCCCTGGCTCTGTTCCTCTGGATTAAAATGCTCCACTTTAACCAGAAGGGATGTGGACTACATCAGGAACAGAGACAACATCCAGCTGGTCGATATTTATACATCATCGTTCCTCGTGCCAGGACGCCACCTTCATGCTTGTTAGCAGGTTAATCTCTACAGTCTGCTTCTGATTTCAGCAGGGAATCAGCTCTGGTTTTTGAAGGATGCGGGACTAAAACTAGTTTCTTACAATCTCATTTCAACAAACGTGATGATCAGGAGAGGAAAGGGATCTTTAAAAAGATCTTTTCTTATAGCATAACTTAAAATGTGTAAGGAAGTGACACTAAACAAGAGATTTATTTCAAAGGTAAAACAGTATGAATGGATGGAAAATTGTTTATAATAATAGCTTATAATAATAGCTTATGTTTAGTGCTTTTGACCACATGTTGCGGACATAAAAATCTCTTCATAACCTTTTCTCTATTTTACAGCCCGTTCTGTTAGCCTAATGATCTGCTGTAGAACTAAACCAGCACTCATGCACACTTTTCTAATAATGGGATTAAAAAGGTACATGTGAGACCTAAAAGGGTTGCCATATAGTAGACACTCTGGAAATACTGACATTATCACACCGGTCACATCTTTAAAAATGTTGCTCTATCGACGGTTTAAGATACATTTTTAGTCATCCATCACATCCTGTGAGAGCTAGATGATACATCAGTTATATTATAGTTCAAAAAGTTATTGGTCTCCTATTTGGAAAATCATTAAAACATATTTTACTAAAAAAATGTTTGTTTCATCCCAAAAACCTCCGAGCAAATTTTTTAGGTCATTGGCTGTAGTTTTTCATCTGTTTTTATTCTATTGTTTGTTATTTTTACTTACTTATTTTATCCGCAAGCTGGAACAATTTTTTCTCTAGAGAAAATGTGTTGGTGTTTATTCTGCATATGTGCTTAGGGTTTGTGGTTTGGCCTATTGTTGTCAAGCACATTGATACGGTTGGGTTCTTAGTGATAAAATGAACCGACCCCTGAAGAAGTTTTCGTTTTGTTTCCTGAGACTGGTGCAATACAGATTATCCTGTTTCTAAGCAACATAACATTTACAAACAGAGAAAATAAGATTATTTGAATACACTCCATGTTTCTTTCATTTTGCGAAAATGCGGACGACTTTTAGTAAACCAAGATTAACCGCATTAATGGTGCCCCATGACTCTCTCGCTGTGGTCTGATTATTTGTGTAAAATGAATTCAACAATCGGATTTACATTAGCATAGCTCCTCATTGCTTCAACAACTCTGCAGATCAGAGGCCCCTGACAGGAGGCCGCCAGGCCCTTATTGATCTGCAGGGACTCCAGCCGACCTGTCTGTCAGGTCTGACTGTCGACCAATGGGGTGTCTTGTCAAAGGAGGTGAAGCTGGGGAGCAGAGTGTGTGTTTGTCACAGAGGAGGAGGAGGTGTCAGGATTATTGTCTCCAGTGTGTCGTCGCTTTGCTGCATTAGGGCCTATTGATCGGCTGGCGCTTGGTTGGGGAGCTGCTTGGTATATCGATCGGGGACATGCCGACAGGACCAAGCAGCGTGTGTGGAGGTGGGTGTGTGTGGGTATGTGAGAGAGAGGAAGACAGGTGTTGGGGGATCATTCACATTGAACAGGTATTAGAGGTTTATGAGTTTGGTCCAACCAGATCAAATCAAATAGGTTCCCATCCTTCAGCTCAGCAGATATGTCGTTAATACTACCTGTGCTTTCCAACCACACCCAGTGTTAACCATCTATACATGGCGGCCATATATAGATCACTCAGTTGCTCTGTTGCATAGATTCACTTTGGGGTGATTAAGAATTTTTTAACATTTTAACTAGTAAAAAAAAAAAATCTGATTTTTTTCACCAATCCCTGCTGTTATCGTAGCTGGGACTATCCAATAAAGGTGAATTATTTAGAGGTATATTTGTTGTTGGTGAACACTTGCTTGCAAAGTTACTAATTAAAACAAATTCAAAATTGTCAGGTTGAGTTGAGGTTTGAAGAGGACCCAAATGCAGAGACGGAAGCGGATGTGGTTTTTAGCAGATTTAATATTCTTCAAAAGACAAACGGAAGCGAAGTACAAAAACTGAAAACTGAAAACCAAAAACCAGGACATGTAAGGGAAAATATACATGAGCACACACAAGCCTGGGCTAATCAGCAGATGAGGAGCAGGTGTGGATGGAAGCATCTAGAAGGGAGTTAGTGGAAGGAGACTGACACAAGGGGGCAACAGAAGGTAAACAAGAAATACATGAAAACTCACATACAACTAGAATACCACACAAAATGGAAATGTAAGCAATTAAACTTAAACAGAACCACAATCATGACAAAAATAAATGAAACATAAAACAACAGTTTTAAGATCAATTTCAATGTGCTAGTAGAGTAAAATATGTGATAATCTGAAGTGAGGAATCCTTTAAAAAATGTGCCCCACTAGTTTGACCCCCCCATCCCCCGTTCAAGTATGTTTACTACACTTGTGCAAACGATGGTCATGGCGAACGACCCCTTAGTTTTTTTTTGTACTTTAAAGCCTTTATTTGCAGTTTTTAACTGCTTCACACGTCTTTTAAAATTTAAAAAGAAAATGAATTTTATTTCATAAGTGAAGCAATGTTATTTAGTGAGATATTTTTTGTCCTTTCTGTACAACAGTTTTTTGTCCTTTTTCCTATTTTCTAGTCTGGAAGCCTGTATACATTATTAACTTGTTTGCTTAATTTAGTAGGTGATAAAGGGAATATCCATTCTATTTTTCTGGATTATTTTCCAGAATTCCAAAAATCAGACTATTTTCCAGAAGATTTGTGACACTCAGCATCAGTGCTTCCTTAGTCAATGCAAAACAATATCCTTTACGTAAAGCTGTTTGAGAGTGTTTGGGGTTTGTGACTCATTGTCCTGATGTTAACTTTTCTTAAGCATGAGGAAGAAGAATGTGCAGCTAATGGAGGCTGGGAGGTCGAATTGACTGGAACTTGGAAACATTTGCAGGTTTTTTTTGGCAGTGAAGCCATTCACAGGTTGAAATCCCAAATGGGATTCTGAGTGAGTGAAAACGGGAAAAATGGGAGGCCCAGAAAGGTCCAGGTTACACTGGCTGGAAAGGAAAACACATCAGAGCTGCAAGCAAGAGTTAGAGAAATTAACAAGAAGGCGGAAGAGGAAGAGCAAGAGGAAGATGAGAAGGAGGTTGGTTTTACACATTTTACACAATTTTTAATTTGAGAGAAGTTGAGGGACAGAAAGCAGCCCACCTCTAACCTCGCAGTCACATCGACACATATTTAGCTTCCCTTAAAAACACAATCTCACATTTAGGAGACATCATAGTTCTATATGAACTGAAACTAAGTGGCAGTACATACTCTTATTAGAAATAACGCTAAAAATTGATTAATGCAAAAAAAATCTATATATTTGTAACTTTCCCAGAAAAAAACATCAGAATTTATTAGGAGACTGAGTCATTTTCATAAAATTAATACAGTTTTCCAAGAATCAGGGAATACATCTTGATCTGAAGCTGAATATACGAACAGCTAAGGATGAAGAGCCTGGCTGATTCTGCATTGAGCTGGTACTGATCCATAACAAAAGCCTCCAGATGTAAAAAGCATCAGTAACTGAGCAGGACCGGCTTCATTCAGCAACAGATATGCTCACATATACAAAGTGAGATACACTTTTATTCATCTTTCTTTAATATTTGATCATTATTGACACATGGTTGCCTTCAGTAGGTCAAACTTAGTCAGATGTATTTTCACAGAATCATAAGCAAGTCAGGTAATGTCAGAACAACAGATGCTGTGAAAACTGCTTTTTGTGTTCTACTTAAGAGACAGATCTTAGAATAAAGTCTTAGTCACTGATAAGAACGTTTAAGAAGAAATGTTCTGATTTTCACATTAACAAATACAATTTAAAGAGAAGAATGGATAAAAGTTCCACTCTGAAGGTGTTCAAAGTTAGTAGAGACAAAGCCGGAGGACGTTCTACAGAGATCTGATTTAAAGGGGGGGGGATAAAAATCCACCCCACAAATTTTTTTAAATGATTTCTAAAGCAGCCTTAAGTTCACTTTTCAACAATATTCCACTGGTCTGTCAGATACCCCCCACCACTACCTCCTCCACCCCTTTAGAAAAATATTCTAAAATGTATGATGGTTTAAAGCTGCAGTGGGGGGATCTGAGAAAACCTGGACTTAGAGTGAGAATTTAAACAGCTATACCTTACAGGCCCATCTTTGTTACTCCCTACTGTGATACAGCCCTTCCTGAACACGCAGGCTATTTGCAGGGACACTGATGATGGCAGGTAAACAGCTATGGCACATTTACTAGTTGGAATGAAGCATCGGCGATATGCCTTATATTGCCACCCAGATGCAGCACATCTGCAATCTGGAGCTTAAAGGACGATACCGCTGTTATATCTAGCGAGGAGACTCACCAATCGCCCTCCTAAAAGTCACTAGATGACATCATAGTCTAATTTGAATATTTGGTCATGTTTTCTGCCAGGCAGTACAGAGTAATATCAACATTAGCAAGACAGAATGTAATTAAAACACTCTAAATGGCTTTAAAAAAATAAAAGTAAGCTCTAAATGACACAAGTTTTCACCTTGGGCCGAGTTTCAGCCTCATTGTGTGTCCTGCATCGTGTAGTGTACAGGGGGTAAGGAGGGGCGATTAGCCTCTCACGATTACCTCCTGATCAGGAATCGTAAGGTCGGGAGAAAATAAAAGGTGTTTGAAATTCAGTCGGCCGTCGTGAAATGTTCGTGGACAAATCCTGCAGTTAAAGCGGAGCTACAAAGAATACAAGCCGATTTACCAAAACTTCAAGCACTGTACATGTGCAAACAACAGGGTTCTTCTTCTTCTTCTTTCGGATTGACAAGTTCAACCAGTTCTTGCTGTTTCTCAATATGTGTACTTGTGCGTTCTCATGTGCTCGTGTCCTCTTAAAACGTCATCACCCTTAGCCTTAGTACTGTTCCAATTCACAAGAACAGCTGACCGAGAATGGACAAAGACCCCGGATGTTGTTCGCGCCCCTCCCTATTTAAAGAGTATGCATCAGAGTAGACATGCCCATTCTTGAGATTGACCGCTGTCCCAGCCTGCACTGCGGCAGCAGCAGCTTAAAGTATTAAATTAAAAGTTCTGCTTTCTGTTTCCATTGTTCAATAAAAGTACATTTTAAGATCATTTGAAGTGAGAACATTATACTTTTAAGCGTCATTATATGGCCCGTTTACTAATTTAGTGCATAATAAAAACAAACAAAAAAAAAGTTCTGAAGTTGAGAGAACCGCGGCAACCAGCGGACCTCCGAGGTTAATGGCAGCAGGGTCTAATCCTAGCAGCAGCCCTCTCTCGGCCTAGCCATGTGTGAAGTTCCAGTGGCTCTGATGGATGTTTGATTGTTTTATTTGGCAAATGTTTATTTGATTTTTTTTTTTTTTTATCTAACTGTTCATTATTATTCCCCCAATAAATGAAAAAAGAAAGAATTTATTATTATCTAGAGACTATTAATAACAGGAGGTGAAATGCAGCTCCAGGCTAGCCGGCCATGTGGTGACGTCCAGAGTACGCTTCTGTTCCAATTGACCCATATTTTTGCTGCGTGCTCCCGTTCTCCCAGAGTCCATATTTTCTTGTGTTCTTCTCAAGAACTTACTTTGCGAGGACACAAGTCCGTACTCGAGTTCTTGTGAATTGAGAAACAGCCTCAATCTCTCGGTACTCAGTCCGACGTGTGGTTTTTAGACATGCAGCTAGATCGCATCGGGATGTACAGCGTAAGAACATACATTGTGAGCTGTGAACTTTTAGACCCTGCGGTTTCGTCGCACAATTTGAACTATAGCTGCGTGCAATGATTGAAAAAAACACACACTGTATGCCTGGCTTAACTGGTCAGGCGAATTTAAACATGTAGCTATCACCTTTAAATCTTTAAAAAGGAACCCAAAGAAACCTCTCTAAAAAGTGGAATAAGTGTGAAATAGCACTTTATACATCATAAATATGAATGGAGCCAAAGTGTGAGATAGGTGCCAGTGTGTGGGTCCCGTTTAAGATCAGGTGTCTCACCTGTTTGGTCATGGAGTCGATGAGCCGGACGTAAAGATCCTGCTCTGTCCGGATACCTGAGAATCACAAGAAATGCAAAAACACAGCAATGAGACCCCAACAGTTTGGCTTTGGGACTCTGAAACACGTTAACACAAAATACTAGGCTACATACATTCATTAGGCTGTTATGGTGATTCAAAATGCTCTGGAACAAAGGAAACTAGTCCTAATAATGTGCTGTAGCAGAACGATCAGGTTGTTTATGTGCTCGTTGTGTATTCATGTTTGCAGAGCCTCTTGTCACACACACACGCACACACACACCCTGCCCCCCTCCGTCTGCAAACGCAAACATTAGCGCTGCTGCAGAGCTGTTTATTATTTATAGGCGGGCCGCCTTAAAACTGCGGAGCGCCTCTCTCCCCCCCGCTGCCTCCTTCCTTGAGGAGAACAAGGGATCCTCATTCTCAGACAAATTAAATATCAATCAGGACTGCGTGTCTTTTATTAGCTATGCATCCGACTGTAAATGTGACACAAACACGACATGGGGTGGAGGAGGAAAATTGCCGGGAACACCTGTTAGTGGCACAGCGCCTCTAATTGTACTGGAAGAAATGGCTTTGTAGCGTCTCATAGTTTGGGCCGTTTCCTCGCAGCTTCCCTGCTTTCTAATTGACATGATTCACTCCTCGCTCTGCAGCTTAAATGGCGTCTATCCATCCCAGTTGCAGATGAGGTCAATTACCTCTGTACGATGCTAATCCGTGGCTCCGTATTAGAGTGATTTATCCGCCTGTGGAAGGAAACGCTCCTTTATGTCCCACTTTATCTGGTGTTTCTGCGGGGGTCTGAGAGCATTAGGCTGGACTCAGACCAGAACGGGGCCAAGTTGTGTGTTTCCAATCAGCCCAGGAACCCCGCCACCACCCGATGGACAAACCAGAATTCAGCTCTGTCACACATTCCAGATGTCTGCAGCTCTGATAATGAGAAACTTTTTCCAGACTTTTAACTGTACAGCTGAGTTCAACTTTGCGTGCGCTGAGGTGACCTTTAATGTGCGGTCTAAATCACGCCAACAGCAGCTTCACCTGGGGAAAATGGCATTCATTAGCCCGACCTCACCAATCCATGCTGGAAATCTCAATACCTTAAAAAAGGCTGAATTTAGGTTAAATGTGGTTTTGTCAGAAAGTTTAGTTTGTTCAGCAGAATCTAAAGATAAACTGTGGTGGTTTCAGCTGCAGCCCAGAAAACTCTGTTTCTAAGGTTCATTAATCAAAGAGTATTTTTTTTTTTTTTTGGAAGACTCTGTGGTGGTGATATCAGAACAAACGCATCACCAGGAGAACAACCGTTATAGATATATTGTCGGATTCTGCTCCTGAGATGACAGAAACGTAAACCCTTAAAACATCTGATCTAATCTGATTTAACAGTCTGCTATAATCAAAGTATCACTGATCCCCTGATGGTTTTATTAGATTGTTACACAGTTTCTTACTGATGTTTTCTTTTTTTTTTTTATCTGTTTTCCTGGTTATTATCCCTCTGTATCAATTATTCACCCAATTTGCAGTTTAGCAGTTTAGGGAAGTTTCAGGAAACAATCAAAGCAATATCCAAGATTTTTGACCTTGCAGCAAAACAAACTAGTTCTGAATTCATCTTCCCACTTCATCCAATTAAGTAGCTTTGATGGCTGGATTCAATAGGGAAAGATGGAGGACAATCAACAAATAGGATGCCAAATATGTTTGGTACAAAGTTCTGATAAAATAAAAGATATTATTTGAGAGTCTGTGCATATGCTGTGATTTTATACAGTTAAATGTCTAATACAGCCCATGTTTTAAGGATATTATCATTGTGAGCAGATTTCTATCCCAGATGTCGGTCAGAATTATCATCCATGAAAAGGTGGTTAATTTGCTGGGAATCTATGTCAATAAAAGCTAACAGGAAATATCTGCAGGCCCAAAGTTACACTCGTGTTTTGATCTGGTCCCTGAAGCTGACTGATCCCCACTGAGTGATGCGATCCCTGGCCAGCTCTAATCTTACCATTGCTGTACAGCAGCTGTAGGCGGTAGTGGATCCCGTTGTTGGTTTTTTCTCCGTTATACTCCTGCCAGAAAACACACAGGAAACACAGTAAACATCTGATATAAAGTCTATTTCATTCTACGGAAATAATCAGAGGCAAATGAATCAACTTAGGAGGTTATTTGTAGAATCTTTGAGCTGTGGGAAAATTCATCAAATAAAGCTTAAGGGAATCTTTTAGATGGGCGGGACTGTATTTCTTAGATCATTTAGCAGGGAAGATCTAAAGATGTTCTGGTTCTGTGCATGCAGAATTGTCCAGCTTCTGTTTGGCAGCTGTGCCTAAGATGCACTATGAAAGCTGGACTAAGGGTCAGCAGACATTAACGTTGATCCAACACAGCCTAAATTAAAGTAAATCTCTCTTCATTACATCCTCCAATCGTTTCTTCCCTCTGACCCTCTGCTCTCCTTCTTTAGTCCTTATTTCCCATTTTATTTCTCTTCCCTCCCCTGTTGGAGTCCTTGTTGGTTGGCCGTATGATGCCAAGTGTGCCTGCTAGCGTTGGCTCAGTCCCAGTGCGTAGGGCCGAGAGACTAGAGGTCAAGGCAGAGGTGAGCGAGTGGGCGCAGGACTTTGGTGCCAACTGGCAGCCGATCAGAGAACATACACCCCCAACCCTGCATGGATCTTATTATGACTCTCATCTGTGATTTCGGTGAGAGGAAACAGAGAAACTATTCATGCAGATGAGAAACCATCAGGATTCCTTCTCAGGATAGAAAACTTTCCTTTAAACTAATCAGACAGAAATCTTGAGTTTAACATTCCTTTCTTTCCTTTAATTCAGTCCGACTCTTCATGGACTCCTCTCCAGGTCTACTGTGTCTCTGGCTCAGGACTTTCAGCAGTCCTAGAAGCCTTTGAATGACAGTGTCCAGAACAACTAACCAGATGAACCAAGAAACATCACCCTGATGGAAGGGGTCCTGTGTGAGGGTGCCCACTCCCCTGAGTGGCTGGACGTAAGTAGTAGCTGGGTGCTGAAGTAAATTCCAGATGAATAATAGACCTAAGGTTTCCCTGCAAAACCTCAAAGACTCACACTGCCCCTACCAGCTCACATTTCCCCCCACATTCTGGCTCTGGGGAGGATTTTTGATATGGCTCACCACTCAGGGCAGCACAAACTGATGGGCAGCGAAAGCCCTTCCAGAAATATAGAAAACTATTGTTCATTTATCAGTTGTGTCCTGAACAGGTTTTCCATCGTATTCTTGGACTAATAAGAAGCTCACCTACCGATGAACAATAGATCAACTGTAAACAAAACAGTGTCCCTGTCTATCATTTCTGCTATGCAGATATAAGTTATGCATCGTAAACAACACAGACCTGTTAGGGGGGCTGTGGCTACAGAGCACCGATTAGTTAGGGTTCTCTGAAACTATGTGCTTAGAATCAGTTTATTACACAGCAGCCCCACTGAGTTTTTTCCCCTCTCTTCCCCAATGTGGCTCCTATCTTTCCACAGAGATAAAGGCAGCGCCATAGGTAACCACCTGGGACCTGAGAAGCCAGGTAACTGTGGAAACCTGGGAAGCCATAAGAACGCGCCAAAGGCAGTGTTCAGCGGCACTCCTGGCCTCAGTAAAACCGTTCACCCTCTCAGTTCCCCATCCCAATGTATGCTATGTATTGTGATGAACAGTTTGTACTGAAACTGAAATCTTGATTAAATGTAAATTGTAGTTGACAATAAAGTTAATTGATTGATTGATTGATTGATCCCGTCTCTGGTTCTGCCCTACACACCACAACAGTCCCGCAAAGATGCTGCTACACTAATACCCAGATTTACCATCTAAATCGTAGAATTTGATTCTACTTAAAGTTGTTCTTCTTTATAATGAAGTAATTAGCTAGAATAGAAGTAGAAGAAGAAGTAGAGTAGAACAGAATACAATAGAAAAGAACTGAATTGAAGAGAATAAAATAGAATAGAAAAGAATAGAATATAATTGACTAGAATTTAATAGAACAGAATAAAACTGAACTTAATAGAATAAAATAGAATAGAATACAATACAATAGAATAGAATATAACATAACAGAACAGAAGAGAATAGAATGAAATAGAACAGAATAGAATCAAATAGAGTAGAAAAGAATAGAATAGAACAGAATAGAATAGAATAGAATTGACTAGAATTTAATAGAACAAAATAAAACTGAACTTAATAGAATAAAATAGAATACAATACAATAGAATAGAATATAACAGAACAGAATAGAAAATAATAGAACTGAACAGAATAGAACAGAATATAATAGAAGAGAACAGAATAGAATGAAATAGAACTGAATACAATCAAATAGAATAGAAAAAATTAGAACAGAATAGAATAGAATTGACTAGAATTTAATAGAACAGAATAAAACTGAACTGAATAGAATAATATGGAATACAATAGAATAGAACAGAATAGAATAGTTCTTTACCGTTCACTTAGGAATTATCAGTGTCTATAAATAAAAAAAAATATATAAAAAACTAAGACTCGGATACAGACTAGGTCAAAGATATAGTTATAAAGTAGGAAACTACAGAAAGATATGTTAAATAACTACACAGATGTCAACAAACAGACATGGATTGCATAGATTTTATAATATCCACTGTTATTATTTTATATATCTTCTAATTGGCAGTGAGGCCAATTAGAAGATATCAGAAGATATAGATATTATAGATACTATTAGAAGTTGGAACATTGTTAAGCTACTCAGTTTTCATATGCATTTTATTCAAATGGGTCTGAATCATCCCAACTTATCTTTGTGTATAATTCATCAATGTAATTCAAATTCATTTTGCAACATATATAAATAACATTTTTTTAACATAACTAAAGAGGTTTATGTAATCAAAATTTATGGAGTACTAAATCAATCAACAATTGAATGCTTGTCAGCCGGCAGTGGTCAAAATGTTGTTTGAATGCGCAAAAAAATAGAGAAAAAAAAAAAAAAACATCCAAACATTTGTGTCAGATCATGGCAGGGGTTACCTTGTCTTTCTCCACAAAGTCCACATAGGATGTTCGCTCGATCTCGACCGGCTGGCCCTGCCGATCATACAACGCCAGTACAAAGTGGAAGAAGTTGGACTTCCTCAGGTTGGATGGAGGCTGCTTCTCAAAGTGAGCTCGGGCCAGTCCCACTCCACTGAAACACAGAGAGGACAAGTCTGAGGGATCAGAGCAAACATGGTAGCAAACCTGGCATCTAGAACCAGCCTGGAGAGGATGTCTGCTTCACACCTTTTTAATTGGCAATAAGTAAACAACAAGGAAGGACAATTGAAACATGCTGCTTTTTAGTAATGATTATTGTTGGGTCCAAGTCCATTGCGGCTTCACGCTGATGTTATTTACAGCAATCAATCGTAAATCATTAGAAGCTGACTCTGAGCTTGGAGATGTGATGAGGAAACTATCACTGGAATCCAGGCAAGACTCTCATCTCTGAGTCTGTCAAAGGAGTCGTTCCTGTTCCTTTGTCTGCTTTTGATGACTTTGATACTTCATTATCAGAGGACTAACTCTGGGACCTCATTTTCACTTTGATATTAGCAAACTTGTCTTTACATGAAGTCTGCTCAGCTAATTAATAACGTGTGATTCACCAGGAAACTCTGAGAAACACAAAGAAAACATTTATCACAGGCGTTTATGGGATAAACAGAAGGCAGTCTGAAGAAAAGAGACGATCCTAAACCTAAACCTATGTTGCCCACAGAGGTGCATCATTTAACTTGTAGCATTTTTACTTGTAGGCAATAAAAAATAACTTGGGAAATGAAGTAATGTCTGTATTTAATTTAAGACTTGATTATAAAAATATTATACAGATATATGTAGATTAAGTTACCAAAGGAAAGCCGTGCGCTGAGCTTAGATTAATTAAAATACGTGCGAGTCATGCAGAGACCCAGGCCTCCTGATTATATGAACTCAATTACACATGATCTTTACATTACGAAAATACAATTAAGTGCTTTATTAGCTACATTTGTACTGATTAATTGTATTTAATACATAATGAAATATAATAAAACATCCTTTCTTGTCCCTTAATGTGGAAATTTGGGCAAAGAAAAGCCCAATGAAAGCCTTCCGGTTAACACATCACTGAAATCACAAAGAGTTACTAAGCTATGAGAACCAATAAGGAATAACACATGTCATCAAGAATTTTATTACATCTCTGAGTAGAGTAGGAGAATAATACCCATGATAAGTTAAATGTATATTTGAACATACAGTGTGGTTATTAAAAAGGCATATTCAGAGTAATGAAATTAAAGGTTAGTGTAGTCAGGTCAGTATGATGACAGCATCAGTGTTAACATGTGTTGAGCAGATGAAAATGGTTAAATTATATATATATATATATATATATATATATATATATATATATATATATATATATATATATATATATATATATATAATATTAATCAGTAGAGGATAAGTGAATGTCTTTGCTGTGCTTCTAATTAAGCATGGAGAGTCAATAGTATATGAATGAATAATGCTTCATGTGTCGAAATGCGATGCCCCTCAGTTATTACCTGCGGAATTTTTTGAATATTAATCTGGCGACTCTGTCAAACTGTTCCAATCTGGAAAGCTCAGCTGCTATTTAACAAAAAATAAACTACTTGTGCCAGATGGTTACAGAACTAAAGAGAAACAGATTAGTGCTACATCTAATTGCTGTCAGGGAACCAGGTTCAGCTTGACAGGCAGGGACACTTTCCATTCTGCTAAAAACGTTTGTGAACCATTAATACATTGCAACCAACCTCCTGAGCGCCTGTGTTTTTACAGTGAGATTTCACCAATTTGTTTTTTGGAGAAAACTGCACTTGCAGCACAAACATCTAGATCATGTTTTGTCATATGAGGGATGTGCAGGCTGTTATTCTATTAAGATAAATTATTAACTCTGGAAAAATGCTCAACAACCTGTGGATCTGGAGAAAAATAGGATCCTAATCATGTGGAGAATTTGCTCCCTATCTACAGGCTCTGGCAGAAAAGGACATGCCATTTCTAACACTTCTCAGTGTTGAATCACAGAGTCATTAGCACTAGTAACTTCACTCTGGATAACAGTTTTCCAGCTTTCTGATTATCCCGCCTTCAGAAACAGGGCACAGCATCACAGAATGAGTACAAGAGCTACCTTAACTCCTGACCAATCAGAGCAGGCCTTGCTGTTTTGAATGTACGTGAGCCTTTAAGCAGAAAAAGGTTTAATTTGATCCATTTTAATTAATAAAAATGTGAAAAAGATTATATATTTATTAATTTTATAGGTTTATAGTTGAATGAGGCAGTTGTTCATCTTATAGTACGAAGCTTCTGATCTTTTAATATGATTCAAATATTTGATCATTAGTTTATTTCTACACATTTATATTTAATTTGTATCAGTTATTAGACCAAATTTGACTTTTGCATGATAGAAAATAAAAAATGAATTAGTTTTGTTTTATCTCTAATGATGTCAATTTTCAGCAGCCACGAACATAACAGAGAGGAAAATAGCCACCCAGAAAAATATCCTTTACCACCAATCCAACACATGAAAGAAAAACACGTTTAAAGCATATAAAATTGATCTAAATACGGGAATTAAATAAAGCAATATTCTGAAGCAAATGTTCTAGTTTTTATTGGTGATTATCATGCCAGAAAAAAATCATTGAAGGTCAGAGGTCACCTGACCTATGATGTGAAAAGTGCATGAAAAGACGCTGCAGGTGTAGAGGGCTCTAAAGTCAATGATCCTGCAGGAGGCGACCTTTGCTCCTAGCCTGCAGAACTCAAAGAGTCCAGCAGGGAAAAGGCTCCAAACAGCAGCCAAATATTTTGACATCAATCTCATTTCCTGGCTCGTTTGGTTTCCTAAAACACTTCATGATCAATACACTGCCGTGGCTTGGAGAAATATTTATTTATGCTCTGGGTTTGTTTTTGGTAACTTGCCGGCCTGCTCTCCCTGTGCTTCCCGGCTCGGGGGTGTTTTCCCAAGACAGCAGATTAATACAGCCGTGACCTTTCTGTACCTCCATTACCGATGCCTAATGCCTCATTTGTAGGCCAGTTTGTTGAAAGCTAATTCTCCTGACTCCCAGTGTTTGGCCGGGTGGACGCAGAGTGGAGAGGCTGCAGAGGAACTCCAGGAGGAGGAGGAGCAGCTCAGGTGTGCATCGAGCCGTTTTAATGGAGGCGCAGTGGGAGCAAAAGCTGCCGGGTGTGGATATAGAAATAACAGCAAGCAGAATGACAGTGAGGATGACTCCAACACCCTCACCATCAAATAAAATCAGTGAATTCCTGTGTGAAGAAAAAAAAAAAACAACTTCACACCTGTCTCCCAGTCCAAGCAGCAGCTTCCATCACCTCCACACTGGAAACAATGCAAGCAATAAATCGTTCATCTGAGAGGAAATCCCAAACAGAGGAAAGCTCAGCAGCAATCATTAATCATGAGTTATTTTCAGGGATGGGAGGAGTTTTAAATCAATCACTAAAAACTCCATCGTCTCATATTCTTTACTCTCTCCCTCTATGCACAAAAATCCAAAATCAAAAAGATGAAACGATTTCAATAGACTTAAAACATTAATGATTTTATTTGCAATCAATTGATTACTGAAATGATTGTCAATGAATTTCATAATGGAAATATAACAGAAATTTTGAGAAAAAAAAAAAGAAAAAACAACCCACTCAGAGAAAGAACTAACAATCACTATAAGTAAATTAAATAAAAAATGAGAAACTTTCCTTGTCTGATATTTTCCACCCAGAATTCTTGCAGTTTTAGTCTGGTTCAGATTCTGTTAAAAAATTAAAATCTTATAATAAGTTATGACTGTAGCTCAGAAGGAAGGAGCAGTTACAGTATCTTGCAAAAAAGTTGTAGGTTTGATTCCAGCTTCCTCCTGCCTTATGTCAGTGTCCCCCTGGGCAATGCAAACAGCACATAAGGGGATGTTTCATAGATCAGAAAAACAGTGACCTCTATAGCTGAGGATCACAGCGACAGAAGACCCTGCATCACTTGGTGGTGAGGCAGGATGAGGGACCAGAGAGGAGGAGATTGATTGCTATTCTTAAGGGGAATGGGTGAGGATGGAGAGTAAGAGGTCAGGCAAATATGGTGTTGGTCTTCAACACCCAGATATCCTCCAGCAGAAGCACACCCAGCAGAGGTCCATTATAGACTCACTGAGACTGAAGCTCCTGCTGCATTTAGGAAGTCCAAGTTGTTGGTCATCTTGTATACTACCATAATTCAGTCTGTCCTGTGTTTGTCTATCTTTGTGGATCGGATCATCAAGAAATCAGGACAGATCAAAACTGCAACAAATATACAGAGAGGGTCAAACTGACCTTCTGTCCATTCACCAGTAGGTTTAGGGCCACAAAAAAAACATCTAAAAAGCCAACAAATCCCACCCATCCTGATCAGAGGCTGCTCAGATCTGCAGCGCGGCGCTACAGAGCTATAAAGCCAAAAACAAACCGACCCACACACAGTTTCCTCCACCAGGCTGTCTCACTGTCAGAAACTAAAGGGTCTTTTGCACCATAAGAGCCCACCTTCTATTTAGAACTGAATTAGCACACCTGTAGCACACAAAAAAGCACACCTGTAGATACTGCTCTTAACCTGTTTGTTATCCTGTTATTTCCCCTTCAAGCTTCCCTCCTGCTGTGGTTTGTCTTAGAACTGCTAATTATAATGAAACAACAAAGCCAGATTCCCGTATTTTGTACCCAAAATTGGCCATTAAAGTTGATTATTGAATCTAAATCTAAAAAATTAATCAATACTGATTTAGAAAGCTTGGTAACCAGACATTACAAAGTATGTATTTGCATACAGTCTCTGTACTTGTATCCTCTAACTTAGAGATCTGTTTGCTGTGGTACCTTACATCACATTTGGTCAGTAATGGTATCTAAACAATTGTAACCCAGATCTGTTATCTAAAATTCAACAAATATTAAACTATGAAATCTATAAATATCTAAAAAAAGTTAAACTTTTTTCAATTCAGAAAAAAAAATTAAATGATAACTAGAAAACTATTGAAAATGCTTATTCTAGATGGAAACTGTTACCGTAGAAACAAATTAAGATCC